CCATCAATGCTTTCCAACCACAGCCAGCTCCCACTCATCCAACCGTGGGCCAAAGACCGTATTTTCAAGAGTAAAAGCCTTCACTGGCACGACACCTCCTGTCATACCATACAGCCTTTGGGCAGGAGGTAAAAGCAGAGGTGCACACATGGCTAAGATTCTCTTGCTTCTTCCTGCCTGTGTTCCAGCCAAGATGCCAGGTCTGGCTTGTGCTCTCCGTAACAAAGGCAGCTGTATCCTATTCAGTTCAGATTAGCACTCACTGTTGCCTACACAGGTAATTTCCTGCACTGTGTCCCACTTTCTCGGCAATACAAGCTCCCATTCAGCAAGGCACTTACGTACGGGAACTTACTGCCTTCAGCAAGAGCTAAGCACAAACTCCTGAGCTTTGCTGATTAAGCACAGAGCTGACAATTCCTTTCCCTCTAGAGCACCTCGCTTCACAGGCAGTCCTTCAAAAAATTCCTCCCTCCTCCTCGCTTTTCTAGTAAGTTCTATCTTGCCCTGAAAACATATATGACAACATTGTTAGAATCAGAATGCTATGGACACTGTACAAAACGATGTGTGCCAAGCACACACCCCTGTCAAGGTAGATGAATAGCTACAATAGCAAAAGTGATCCTGATCACACGTCTTCTCTTCTGGACTAATTTTCCCCAACATGGCACCAAACCAAGAGTGGTGGCACTGCTCTGATTGCAAATCAGATCCAGTGGACTGATCAGGAGAACACAGATGACTGCATGACTCAGTTTCCCTCCATCTGTCTTTACAGAAATGGAAGGACGCTCCCCAAATCCCTTAATAACTTGATCCCTGCGGCCTCATCCTCATCCGTGCCCTCACTTCTAGGCACTGAAACCGGTGCATCTTTCATCTGTGCTCAGGAAAAACAGTTAGAGTTCAGTTTGGGTCTGTGATTCATGTAGGAAATCCTACTGGGGACTAGCCGGGGCTCATCCCAATGCCAACGACAAAAGGAAGCTCTTTCAGCTTTAGTTACGATGCAATGCCAAAAGCCGCTGGCATGCATGCATGGAGGTTCCTTCTGCTCACACCTCTGTTTTACTGAAAATAATCAGGTCTCATTTATCCTGGAGCTCTACAACTAACTACAGAATTAGAAATGGTGGTGACATACCCTGAGAAGGTGGAGCTGAAGTATTTGGGAGAGAAGACAATTGTGTCTGGTCTCACACGCTTCTGGTCAGAAGCATTTGATGATTACTGTTGTAACAATAAAAATCACTAAGGATGACTGCTGTTTCCCACTTTCCTGTGCTGTCAGAAAGATCCTGAGAAAGCTCCAATTTTCAGTGGAATTTACAATTTATTTTTGAAGTGACAGTATCAGAAATAATCCCCAGCCTCTTCTTCTCTTTACCTCCTCTGTTCCCTTCCTGCCTCCCAGCTTCTAGTCCATCTGTGAAATCAGGATGCCGCGAGAGGAACAATGTACCTGGGGAGGCAAAGGGTTCTTTGCCATTCACTGGAGCCCTCAGCATCATGGCTGGATCGAAAGCCTTTCTGAAGGACTAGTTCTGGCTCAGCCCAAGTCACAGGCTTGAAGCCATAACCCCTACATGAAAGGGTTATGCAAAGGGTCAGAATAGGTGATGATAAAGTTCCCTTCCAGCCAAAACAATCTATGAATCTCCAAGGAAATCCACCATCCCCTGGCAAGAGCCAGGACTAGACTTTCCGAAGTGTAACAATGTCTGGCTCCAGAATCACAGGGGCAGCGCCTCTGAAGAGCTATGAAATCATCTCTTCTGCTTGGGAGGTTCGACAAGCTACGTTGGCATTGCCTGTGAGCCACAGACCACAAGACTGGAATGCTGGGAACAAAACCAGAGCAGATACGTTCAGAATGGCTTTAAAGCTAATGTTACACTGCTAAAAAGAGCAAAAAAAAAAAAAAAAAAGAACAAAATAAAGGCACTTAACCTGGCTTTTCAATATAGTAGAAGTCAATTCAGAGATTTCCTTTGAACATGCTAGAGAGCCGTTGTGCAACCCAGCCTGCTCAGCAGGCCCAAGGTGGGAATGGCAGAAGCTGCTGCAAGTCAGGACCAAGGTACCTGAGCAGAGCTGTGTGGGAGGCAAGGCCTGGAGTGGCAGGAGAGCAGCAGCTTCAGAGAGAACAGGAGCTGGCGGAGATTAATGAAGGAAGCTCAGACAGTATCTGTCTGTAGGAGGCCTGGCTCAATTCAAGGCCATTAACTTGTTGCTTTCTGAACACCACCAACAGGACTGGAAACAAAAGCATGTCTGCCCAGCATGGTTCATGTTGAGTGATTGCTTAAATACTCCAGCAGAATGAAGAGCATTAAGAAAGGCAAAGAGCCACTTCAATGGCTGCAGGCTCACAGGGCTGCAAGTTTTTGCATGAAGTCCAAGTCAAAACCAGGCAGGCAACTGGGATGTAGCCTTGAAAGTGGAAACAAATAAATTACTAGCCTTCATTTTCTCCCATTCAGGAGTTTAAATTTAAAGGGGAGTCTATCAACTTTAAATAAATCATGTTTATAATTAAAAACACATTTTCCTGTGCTGCTTATGCGCCTTTGGATGATTAATAAGGCATTTTTCAAATTACTTTAATTCACACTAATTATGCTGCTTGTTTACCCCAGTCAATAATTTTTCTTCCAGGGAGATAAAGCTATCCCAGGAGGAGGTCTCCCTCCAGGGACCAAGAGGGAAAGGACCCCAGGGAACTGTCTAAGGCACCAGTAACATATGGGAGGTCTTTCACTGAAAGCGACAGAGCTGGTTACATGAGTCACGTCACGTCAAACACTCACAGGACTTCTTTTGCTAAGCCTGACCCTCTGCCTGGATAAGATGAGGAGACGTGAGCTTGCTCAGCTCCCAGAGGCCTTAAGCTGTGTTTTGCCTAGACCTTGCCTGAGGTACCAACCTTGCCAGGGGACCAGACTTTGTAGGTCTAGCATGAAACCATAGCAGTGGCTGCACAGCTTCTGGGTTGAGTCAGGCTTGTGCCCGGCAGAAGCCAAATGTGTTAGGGGCAAGTGGGAGGGACGGAAGGAGAGTTCAAGACCCCTGTTGACATTTTCTCTTGCTTTCCCTGCCTTCAACACCATGGTACCCTTCAGCTTTTCAAGCC